TGTGTGTGTGTGTTATTGGCACCATCTTATGTCTCCTAATGGTATTACCATTGTTGTCACTGAAAGTCGTGACCGTAACAAACAGTTGGTGTATTTTGAGTTCTGCAGCTCCCCCTAGCTAGTTGTAGCTGCAAATGCAAATCTTGCAAGAGTTTATCACAACAAGGTATATATATATATATATATATATATATCATCTAGATATGAAGTATTCCACCAGATGGATCACAACTGGAAGAGCATGAAGAAAGGCTTTCACATGGAGAACAAAAAGAAGAGTTTCAAATAATGCACAATTGTCAACGTATCACTAAAAGTGAATTTTAAGACATTGGTTTTTCAGAACAGCACTGGGTCACCAACACATTGCATACTTTTTAAAAATGAGATTTTATGACTGGAAAAGTCATACAAATCTCAATTTCCACAAACTATATTAAGAAGCACATCTGTTTTCAACATTGATAAAAATAAATGTTTCTTCAGCACCAAATCAGCATATTAGAATGTTTTCTGAAGGATCGTGTGACACTGAAGACTGGAAATTCAGCTTTGCCATTGCAGAAATAAATTACATTATAAAATAGTTAAAAAATAAACAGTTTTTTTTTTAAGTTGAAATAATATTTTACAATAATTTTTTACTTTATTTTAATCATATAAATGCAGCCATAAGAAACACTTAAACTGTATTGTATACGATGACTGGAATTTGAAATCCTATCACTGTAGCATTACCACAACAACCAGAATGGTCTGAAAAGACTGGACGTATAAAAATCATACAGCCTGCAGCTCTTTTGAAAGACATCAAGGGATAAAGTGAAAACAGGCCTTAAGGTCTTTCTGATACACTCACAGGGCTCTGGTAATTGAGGATTTTATCCAAGTGGGAGAGAAGGGATTAGTGTTAATGACTACATGCCTTAATTAGCCACTCGATTAACTGACTTTGAAATAATCCACTTTAATGAGTAACAAAAAGTTAATCAGGGACATTAGATTAGACCTTCTGATGTTCACTGATTGTAAACTACACATTCAGCCAAACCAGTGCTGCAAATGCAAAATGCTATTTTGAAAGATCTATCGCCTACATCGTCCTGAGACTGAATGTGGGATGAAGGTTTTGTCGACTGGTTGAAATGTCCACACAGCCACTCCAGCGTTATTGTATAACATTAAGTTAAAGAATGCTGTATATTTAACCTGCAGTCTTCAGCATTCTCATTGCATTTGAATCTTTCACAAATCACAATACAGCCTGAGCTTCGCTGCCACTGAACTTTGAACTGGAACGTGACAAGAACATGTAAAAGATGTGAGCAGATTCCAGTTAACATTGCTTCAGTGCATTTGAGATTCAGACTGAATACTTTTGTTTATTGAACAATTTGACTCTTCCATATTCATACACAATATATGCAAAAAAATCTAATCCAAACTATGACTTGTTTCCCCTTTTCTAAGTATCAGTGATATAATACAGGTGCATCTCAATAAATTAGAATGTCGTGGAAAAGTTCATTTATTTCAGTCATTCAACTCAAATTGTGAAACTCGTGTATTAAATAAATTCAATGCACACAGACTGAAGTGGTTTAATGCCGAGTTCACACTGCACGATTTTCAAACTCGTCAGATCGCCGTTGTTTTCACACTGCGTGACTATCTGGGGTAGCATTCAGTTGCTGCTGTGTTCACATTGCACGATGGAACGACGACAGGAGGTTACACACTGCATGACTTTACAATAGGAAGAATCGCCGACAGCTCTGTCTGGTCCGCAAACTACGTTTCACAACAAAACACGCGAGAAATGATAAGGAAATAACGTGAGAACCCGCGTGCGTCAGACCGGAGTTCTCCAGCGAGACTGTAATTATTAAAATATATATAGCCCGCAAATTGTCTGTGAGCTGATTTCCAGCTACAAGGAGAAAAAGAAAAACAGATTATGCAGGAGGGAGATGCAGGGAACAGGGATTGGGTGTTCTGCAAAGAGAGTTGGAGGTAAATAATTTTGCAACTGTTATGCTGATGTTGTGGCTGGTCAAGCAAATTTTTGTGCTTGTTTTCTGTGTGCATTGAATTTATTTAATACACGAGTTTCACAATTTGAGTTGAATTACTGAAATAAATGAACTTTTCCATGACATTCTAATTTATTGAGATGCACCTTTATAATATAATATAATAGCTTGTACAGTCTAGCTTGTACTAATCTGAGCAATGCTTGAAACGTTGTATTATGAGCACTTTCTGCGTTTATTTGCCTCTATGATGAATTGCTTGTTGTATTCCTCAGTTGTAAGTCGCTTTGGATAAAAGCGTCTGCTATATGAATAAATGTAAATGTAAATAATAGTATAATATATTATCCGTTGCATATCCAGACGTGCATATATAATATAATATAATATAATATAATATAATATAATAATACATTTTGACAATGTTTACCTGAAATCTTATTACATATTACAATACATTTTAAGGGAATAACTTGTGCAACCAAGACAATACGAATACGGGAATAGAATAGAGAGTATAGAATATACAGAATAGAGGTTAAAGTAAACCTACAAAATATTCCTTGCTTGTACACCTAAAACTCTACACAATAGTAAAAATATAATAATTCGTTTTTTTTTTGTGGTAGATTATTATAGATTAGTTTTGTTTTGTTTTTTAATTAAAATTTAAATGTCGGTCGTGGACAATGGTTAAATAAATAAAAAATAGATATGTACATTAACGCTATTTGAAAAATACAAAATAAAATAAATAATGAATAATAAAAGTTTCTATGAGGGAAAAAAAATCTACGTTTTTCTTATATTTTCCCTAAATATCGTAAGGAGCTTTAAGTTTGAGAAATCGGGTCTTATATCGCTGTGTTGTTTCTGGCTTCACTCTCTCTCTCTCTCTCTCTCTCTCTCTCTGGTCTTATATCGCTTGTCTGTCTTCTCTCTCTCTCTCTCTCTCTCTCTCTCTCTCTCGCTCTCATTATTGATCAGAATTTGATCCTCTGCTTTATGGTAAGGGAAAGAAAAGCTGCGATTTAAAGTTGATCATTATCATGAGTTTATCATAACTATTTGACGGGTTGACCATAAATCAAGCTCATGTTTACTCGATCTTTTCCAAATGTATTTACAACTGCAATTAGATGCTTTTAGACATTTTAGATTATGTGATTTTAAAGTTAACTTGCAATTATTTTACCTGCACAACCTGCATCTTTTTTATCCTCTGTGCAGGTTTCCATTTAAATCGCTTAAATGTGTTACTGTATTTTTTATTTTATTTGTAGTTTTTGGGTAATGGCGACTGTTGAATCCGTCAAAGACCTTCGTACTCCAGCACTGATCATTGACCTGGATAAAGCGAGAAGAAACGCTGAAGGCATGCTGGAGCGCTTCCACAATCTAGGGGTCCAGCTCCGACCTCACATGAAAACACACAAAACACTGTAAGATTCGCAAAATACTCTTATTATATGCCCTTATCAGGTTGGTCTTGTTCACTAGTAATTTTGACTGGCGTCTGACAAATAGTATTGGATACTTAGTGCACTTAAAGTTTTACTATATAACAAAAATAAGTAAATGTCAAGCCAAGTGTCATTTATTTAAAAAAAAAATAAAAAAAATAGCACAAACACACATTTAAAGCAAAACATTTCACAAAAATAAGTTTTCAACTATTAAAAAATATATATATATATATATATATA